ACACATGATGCTCAAAGTGAAACATCGGAATATGAGAGTGAAATTGATCTCCTAGAATTTGATCGCCTGCAAATCGATGCGAATATAGATTTTACCAAGGAAACTTCCTTTAGTTCCAGATCCGGGATGGCCTGGTTCTCAATTCCATCACATGCAAGCAAAACAAAATTTTCTAATACTGCCACTGAGAAGTCTGGACTTACAGAATTTAGTAAAAACATAACTTCTGTCGAGGACGCCTTTCTGTGTTTCATATCAGAGGAAATGCTGAACAAGATAATGGTTTATTCAAATATCGAAGGCAATCGTAATTCAGCTTCTAATGGTGAATGGGAACCAATAACATTAATTGAACTCAAAGCGTTTATTGGGCTTTTATTGCTGGGTGGATTAATGGGAAAATCAAAGAAAAGTATTAAATCTTTGTGGAATAGAAGCCCACTGGAATCTCCGATATTCCCAGCTACCATGTTGAGAAATCGCTTTGAAACAATAATTTCATCAATTCGGTTTGACAATAAAACAACACGAGAAGAGAGGAAACGAACGGACAAATTCGCTGCATTTCGTGAAATTTGGACAGATTTTCGAGAAAATTTAAAGAAATGCTACAACCCTGGATTGCATGTTACACTTGACGAACAGTTTTTGGGATTTCGAGGGAAGTGTCCATTTCGTCAATATATCCCATCTAAGCCGGATAAATATGGGATTAAATTCTGGTTCTGTGTCGATGTCAATTCTTACTATATGTTCGATGCATTTCCTTATATCGGACGACAACCTAATGAACAACGGCAACGATTTGTTGGTGCTAATGTTGTTTTAGAGCTAATGAAACCAATGTACGGGTCGAATAGAAATGTTACGATCGACAATTTCTTTACCAGTATTCCATTAGCGAAAGAATTACACTCAAAGGAACTTACTTTGGTAGGAACCTTGGGAAAAAATAAGCCCGAGATTCCTATCGAGTTGCAGTCAAATAAAAATCGCGACGTTGGTTCATCGATATTCGGTTTCAGCGACAATCTAACACTGGTGTCATACGTTCCAAAGAAAAACAAAGCTGTCTTATTACTCTCTTCTATGCATCATGATAACAAAGTAGATACTGGAACTGGAAAACCGAATATTGTTCTGGACTATAACAAAACCAAAGGGGCTGTTGACACTATTGACGAAATGTGTCACAAGTACTCTGTAAAAAGAGGTACAAGACGATGGCCACTATGTGTTTTTTATGGAATCATTGATGCTGCTGCTATCAATGCAATGATCTTATGGAAAAAGAAAAATTCAAATTGGAATGCGAATAAAAAATACAAGCGTCGTCTATTTCTAGAAGTTTTAGGAACACTTCTGACATCCTATCTTTTAGATTTTCGCTCAAAAAATTCATCAACCTTGCACAAAGATATTCAAAATGCGCTAGCTCTATTTGGTTATCCGCGGATAGAAACAGAATTAGAAACATTTATCACAGATTCTGCACGCTCCAAGCGAAAACGATGTTCACTTTGCGATTATTCAAGTGACAGAAAAGTTTCTAACACATGCTACAAATGTTCAGAGTCTGTATGCAAACAACATAGTGTGAAACGCGTTTTTTGTATTAATTGTTCTAAATAAACAAAACCTATTAGTTTAGTCATTTTTGATTGACTAATACTTAGAAACAACTCAGTTTTAATCAGATGCTTGTTGAAAAGAGATAAAAAATATCTTTCTCAAAATGCATTCTATTTTTATCGCTAAAAATAGGCTTGGGAGTACTAGGGTTAAAGAACAAATGAATGGTCAATATCCGCTTATAATTGGGAGTGACACGACATCAGAAATAACAAAAGCTGTGTCCAAAGTTTTCCCACCAACAACCCATTTATTTTGTACACGTCACGTACGTCAAAATATCGAACGACAATTGACTAAAACAAGAGTACATCAGGATGATAGACAAAAGCTATTGGAAGCTATATTTGATGTGCCTGATTCATTAATTAAATCAGATAATATTGAAGAATTTGAAGATCGATTAGCCGAATTTGAACATCTTTGGAATGAAATTAAAAACACTAATCCAAATAATTATAAGCATGTGATGGATTTTCATGATTGGTTTATTACGTATCAAGCACAAAATTTTCAAGAACATTTAATTGGTGGTATTCGAAATGCTGCTGGTTATGTGAATCAAGACGGAACAGCAAAATTATTTTATAATAACGACAATGAGGCTCTTAATCATATGTTAAAAAATGAGTCATATTGGGAACGAAGACCATTATCCGATGTATTAGAATCTCAATCAGAACGAGCACAAATAATACGCGATTATTATGCTTATCAGCTACCTATCCGGCAACCAACGACTGATTTTAATATTCCAGCTACTGCAGGACGAAAACTGGGAAGAAAAGTATTCGTGGGACAACAACAACCATAAGATCATCAAGAAATAAAAAAAAAGTGCTTTAAATAGGTAATTATTAAACATATATATTATGGGAAACTCTCAAGAAAAAAGGTCGCTGCTAATAAAAAAATTGAAGAACAATGGGTTATATATTTTGAGGCTGAAGTTTGGTAGAGAATTTCACGGTCGTTCTTCTGCTGTACTTTATGAATCACTTTTATTGAG